ACTCACAAGTAATGATCGAACCTCCTTAAGGATCTCTAGGTTCCGCCTTCCTACAAGAGGGCTCTACCTCCAAAAAAACTAACCTAGCCCAATTGTTGTGTGGATGGAATACGCTATATAACCCAAAGGCAGGGTTGAAGGCGCTAACGCTCCTAACCTAAAAGGAGATAACAAAAAAATGTATGGATGGAAAAATGGATATAGTTCCAAATGACCCTTGTTCCGATCGACCTCGAGTTTTACACATAAGTTGTTTTTGATGTGATGAGGAATAAAGTATGAGTGGTCCCAACTTCGGGAAATTAAAAAAAAATTCCCTACGGAGCTTTAAAGAGTATGTGTGAAGGCAGTAGTAGGTTCCGCCCCCCTGCGGGGCGCTCCACCTCCAAAAAAACTAATCTAACCCAACCCAATTGTTGTGTAGATAGAAAAGTATATACGTGAATACAATAGATTCACACTTTCCCACCCGCAACAAAATTAATGAAAGATTTATTACTTTTGCCATAAAAATATAACTTACACTTCAAATTCCACTTTTATAAAGCTAAACTACGTTCTGACGTGTACACTGACCTACTCAGTTATCCAGAAAACCAATCTTCCGCATACGCAGACCAAAAATCCAAAATTCAGCAAAATAATAAAAATTTGAATATTAAAAAAAATAGTTATTTCCGCAAGTTAGCACTGGAGCTTTCAGCTTCTTTTAGTACGTACTACGTGTCTGCAAAAGTAGATAAAAATCGGAAGGGGGTTGTATATGGAACTCGAGCCCAAAATACTTTGATATCTTGTTATTATCAGTTTTTTTCTAAAAAAGTTACTTCCATGTAGTATTAATATTTTTTTAAGCACCCTATATATCGCATTATAACGTAGTTATAAAATAGTATAAAAATCAAATTAAATGTATAATATAAAATTAAAAACAAAATATTAAAAATAAATCTATTATTTTAAATAATGCATTAATAAGAAAAGAAAAATACCTTAATTTTCTTTCTCTTCACTTTTGGAGTATTTACACCACAGATAACATTTCCAATTGCCATTTTGATGGAACTGGTGATTACTTCAACTTAAAAAATGTTCTAAAGAAAAATAATTAAAAATAATAGAAAAAATAGACTTTTTCTAATCAACATAATAAGCAGAATTCTACTACTATTAAATTCGTTATACCTAGTAAGACCCAAAGTTTCAGGTTCGAGGTAAAAAAAAGTAATAAAATAAAACAACCATTTTTACTTTTCAATATTATCATTTTTTATCTCAGTACATTTTTTAAAATGATTAATTTTTTTACACTAAAAAGTGTTCTGAATTTTTGTTCTTAAAGTGACTTAACACTGCGGAGATCACTTCATCACTGATTAATTTTTTCCATGCAAATTCGATTTTAATTTTGAAAATAAAAAATTAAAAGATAATTACTTTTAATTTTTAAATTAAAAATATAATTCAATTTATGTGAAAAAAATTACCAATAATAAAAAATAATCTTTGCAATGTTAAGCTATTTTAAGGACAAAAATTCAGAATATTTTTGTAGTAGTATAAGACAATTAATTCATCGTTATAAAAAATATACTGAAATAAAGAGCAATTATATTAAAAAGTAAAAATAATTATTTTTCATTTTATCACTTTTTCATTTCCTTGGGATGGAAACCTTTTAAATCTCACTATGTATATATTATTAACCTTATACAGATTAATGTAAAGGCTACGTAAATTGAGATCTCTATTTGAAACACGTCATTGCATTGTGTACTATATAAACACAGTAGCACAGTTCAAAGAATAAAAAACTAAAAATTTGTACACAGCAAAGATGAAATTTCTATTAAAATTTCTATTAAAATTTTATTACTCTCTGTACAAGTTGCAAAATTAGCTTTCAATTACATATTCGTGTAACTGCACAATTAAAACATACAAATTATTGATAAAGTTCAACAATGTTTAATGGTTTACAATAAAATAAAATATTGACGTAAAGGAAAATAATTGAAATAACTGGACGAGTGTACATCTCTATGATCGATAGATTATTTATGTCTATTTCTACCAATTACTACGTTTACGCGAGTGTTACTTCTGTAGTAACTTACGATATATCACTCGTTTACGCGGAGTAAATTATTGTAAGCTACTACAAAATCCCGTTTACGCGAAGGAATTATCGTAAGTTACTACAGAAGTAACGCTCGCGTAAACGTAGTAAATGTAGATTAACACTTTAATCTACGTTTAACTTACTTTTTGTCTTTTTCTAATTCTTAGGTCCTGCACACAATAGAACATATATTAGGAATAAGAAGGTATTTATATAGAATAGCTACTGCACCTCAAAAATTAATCAAAATAGGCTCATTCGACGCATTTTGGCACGAAACGAAAGAATCTGGCAGAAAAATTCGGCGGTTTGCCCTGCGAAGCGAGATATTTAGCGTTAAAGTTGACGATTCTTAGGTTAAAAATCCTATCATACCGACGTGATGTAGCGATCATAAACATGCCCCGTGGCCACACGCGCATGCTCCGTGGTCGCACGCGCATGCAAAAGTGTGCGAATTTTAAACGTATGCATACTTATCAATGCATAAATATAGTAATTGTTTAGATGGGGGGGGGGGATCACCTTGGATGACCTTGATATTTTAGTATGTTGTCAAGGTCACCCTCCTGAGTGACCTTCAAAAGGTTTCAGCCCGCGCTCGTTGTTCGTTAAAAAGTTATTAACAAAAAAAGTTTGGAAAATATAGCAGTTATTTTGAGTAATGGAAGGCATAAATAACTAATATATACGTGTGTGTGCCCTGCTTTAAAGAAAATCACAACTTCTATAAAGCAGGGCAACACACGTGTGTGTGTATGCCATGCTTTAACGAAAATCACAACTTCTATAAAGCAGAACATACACACATGTGTGTGTGCTCTGCTTTAACGAAAATCACAACTTCTATAAAGCAGGGCATACACACGTGTGTATGTGCTCTGCTTTAACGAAAATCACAACTTCTATAAAGCAGGACATGCACACATGTGTGTATGCTCTGCTTTAACAAAAATCACAACTTCTATAAAGCAGGACATACACACGTGTGTGTGTGCCCTGCTTTAACGAAAATCACAACTTCTATAAAGCAGGGCATACACACGTGTGTGTGTGTACCCTGCTTTAACGAAAATCACAACTTCTATAAAGCAGGGCACATACACACGTGTGTGTGCTCATGATCGCTACATCACGTCGGTATGACAGCTAGGATTTTTAACCTAAGAATCGTCAACTTTAACGCTATCTCGCTTCGCAGGGCAGACCGCCGCACTTTTCTGCCAGATTCTTTCTTTTCGTGCCAAAATGCGTCAAATGAGCCTATTTTTATTAATTTTTAAGGTGCAGTAGCTATTCTATATAAATACCTTATTCTTAATATGTGCTCTATTGTGCGCAGGGTCTTAGAACTAGAAAAAAAATAAAAAATAAATTAAACAGAGATTAAAGTATTAATTTATATAAAAATGGACATTAAAGATGCATTAATTACTCACCAATCGACAGGATTTGTTCTTGACAATCATCTTTACCAATCCAGTAATAAACGTAAATTGTGCGAAAAGATAGGTAACTTAAACACAATTGTCACAATCATGTCGGAGTAACACCATAATATTATCTCATTGCACCTACTTTGACAAATTATGCCAGCTGAAAAAAAAGTCCATGGGTTTACGAAAATCGTAAAAATGTTTGCTCCAAGAAAAATTAGGAGATGAGAGTTTCATCGTTTCGCGACGTTTCGTGATAGAGCGACAGACGGAAAAAATGGAATTTTGGAGAGCAGACACCGAGATACACTTACGTTGTTTAGGTGGATGTGCGAGCAACATAAATAAAGGTGTAATTTAACGCGTCGCGTACATACATATAATAAAATTGTTTTCATCGCGATCGAAATCGATTTCACATTGTGGTAGCGACCGACGGCGCGAGGCTCAAAGAGATTCGAAATTGGCGGGAAAATCAATGATCTGTCATCACGCGATAAGGTAACCTCGCGGATTAACCTTTGTTGTGTCATCATTTCGCGCGAGTGCGGAAAGTACGGGAACACGATCGATTACAGTCTCGGAACTCGGAACGAAGCAGAATCGCTTCGTTTACCATTACGTCAAAAGTGCACCGCCTGCACGTATCTACTATACTCTCTTAACTCGTCTCGTATGTATGTGTGTGTGTGTGTGTGTGTGTGTGTGTGTGTGTATATATATATACACACACACATATATATATATATATATACACACACACACACACACACACACACACACACAATTCCCGAATACATCTCATTCCAAGAGTAAGTAGACAGTGTAGAAAAACGCGATGAGGTTTGAGAGAAGCAAACTCGATTTTTTTACGGGCGAAAAGCTACGCACTCACTGAATAAAAGTTAATAACTTAATTAAGTGATCGTGTTCATGTGATGTACATACATTTACGTGGCGCGTGCGTCTTCATGGGGGTTGCATCGAGATGTGCCACGAGCGAGCGATTCTCTCACAACGCGCTCGGAGTTAATTCAACAAGATGACTCGCAGAAGTCGCAGACTCGGCAGACTCACAGCTCGCTGCATCTCGCAGACTCGGTACTCTCGGCCCGCTCGGCCGATTCGGCCTCGGCGACTGTAGAGTACCGAGAACACCCGACCGCGAGCTTTGGAGCTTACCCCGAACAGTCCAAACCAGTCCAAACTGATTTACTGGTGGAAACTGGTGGGAACTGAACGGAACTGAACGAAACTGAAAATCTCTCGGACCGAACCGGACTGGAACTGGAACTGACTGGAATTGAACCGAAATTGGTTCTAAATAGAGTTCCTATAATAAGAGTTAAGGAGGCTCTTACCTCGATCATAATATGACAGATCTTTATGAAATTAATATATGTTGTAAAGTGAACCACAACGGACCGATGCCCAAAACTTGAGCATAGGTTGACGATAAAAACTGTAAAAATATCAGTATTGAAATTCGCATTTTTAACACAGGACATATGGTAAACACTAAAATTTTTACCGGAAGTGATGTATTTTCTTGGCAAGTTTGCGAGCCAGGTAAACAAAAAACTAAGGAATTGTAGTTAAAATAATAATCTTTCTAATGATAAGAAGAAAACTTGGTGTTGACGATTAGTTATAAAAGATATTGTAGTTTTAATATGACGTACGAGAGGTTAGGACGAATGATCTTCCGAGTGTCAAAATCGCGCGAAGTTTCAAATGTTGTATTACACGTAAATAAGTAAAATGCGTTTTTTAAACATCTTTTATTCATTTTATTAATTAAGTAAACAAGTAAATATTATATATATATATATTTATTTATAAATATATATAGTTATACATAAACACATCAACTATACTTATCATAATTTCTTAGAAAAATATTATTTTTCACAGCTTTCAGCTTTCTTTCTTGCATTATTTATTGATAATGCAATGTTGCAGCTAAGGCACCACAGTTGTTGTCCAAATACTTTTAAATTCACTATCCGTCGAGACCCTAATGAATCCTCTGCATGCAAACATTCTGGAGAATTGTTTTGTACCTATATAAACAATAAGTTTCAATTATTTGCCAATCAAACCTTGAAAATCAAAAAGTAAACAATGTTAATTATTCTTTCTAACCTCACTTGCACATGTCTTTTCTCTGCGCTGTATGGTAGCGGCATAATTATTCTCTCGCGCATTGACAACCTTTATTTTAGCGAATTTTCCTTTCATTTTCCCTCTCAGCATTCTCACGTTATATCTATCTTTTGGCTCCATCTCTTCATCGCATCATTCGCTACAACGCTACACGGCTACACCTCACTTAGCTGCAGACTGCTACAGACGACGTTGTGACACGCGCATGTTCTGCTCTTTAGCACTGACGTAGTCAACTGACTTATTGTATAAATTTTAATATTTACACTAATAGAACATATAACTTACTCTTACACTATGTAAAAATCATTATTTATTTTTTTATTTAATTTTCCGATAATTTTATAACCAATTATTAATGATAATTTTTCGGTTGCTACATTGATTAGAGCAGCCGGGTAAGAGCCTCCTTAAGGTGATCCTAAAGCCGTGATTCTAGCCGGTTTTTTTTCGGTATTTTTCTTAGCACTAATCTTTTAATTGGCTTTATAGAAATGCAAAATTCTTGTCTAGAATTAAGGTGATCCTAAAGCCGTGATTCTAGCCGGTTTTTTTGGTTTTTTTCTTAGCACTAATTTTTTAATTGGCTTTATAGAAATGCAAAATTCTTGTCTAGAATTAAAGTACGCATCAAAATCTAGGTCATGGTGGTCGAATTTATATGTGGTGGTCGTCACGTATAACAAAAAATATTAATTTTTTTTGTTTTCGATATAAATTCGACCACCATGACCTAGATTTTGATGCGTACTTTAATTCTGGACAAGAATTTTGCATTTCTATAAAACCAATTAAAAGATTAGTGCTAAGAAAAAAACTGAAAAAAACCGGCTAGGATCACGGCTTTAGGATCACCTTAAGCCCCTTGCACAATGCCAGGCAACAGGCAATAGGAACAGGGAATAGAAACCAGAAATCATGTATAAATGCAGAATAAACAGTGACACAGGCAATAGACACAGAGTTTCCGTCACGTTGGAAATTTTGTGCCTATTGCCTGTTGCCAACCAATCATAGCATTCAAACTTTTTAGGTTGTAATTAACGATTTTTTGGTTATTTCCTGTTCCTATTGCCTGTTGTTTGACATTGTGCAAGGGGCTTTAAGCCAATGTGGTGACGATTTTTGATTGGTCCCGTCATATGTTTCAGCCAAGTTAGTGAGAGTGAGACAAGCTGTAAAGGCCGGTTTTCACACGCAATGATTAGTGGCGCCAACTGACTGGCATTCATTGGCGCCAGAACCGACTAGCAAACTCACAAGTATTTACACAGTGATTGGCGTATACTATGGAAAATATTTGACATTTATTAAACACACAGTAAATGACAGCAAGCATATAACCTCCAAATTTGAGGTTATATGCTTTGGCCAACAACCGCCAGTAAATGCCACATTACTAGCGCCAGTTTGTATCAAGTGTTTACACTTGCATTTTTACTGGCGTTAGTCGACTGGCGCGGCCTGGCGCCACCAATCATTGCGTGTGAAAACCGGCCTTAAGTGGGAGTGAGACAAAGCTTCATGATCGTCATATGCTTCAGCCAAGAAGTTAGTGGGAGTGAGACAAAGCTATAACATTTGAGACAAAGCTGTACTACATGGCGGCGGTTTGTCCTAACTCTTATTATAGTAACTCTAGTTCTAAAGAGAGGCGCATCCGGTAGCTCGCTTGCTGAATGGCTGTCCGCGCTACCAATCACGACCAAGAGTGTTGGGCCCGCAGCCGATGCGAAAGTAATACTGGGGTCTACAATGCGAGTCGCAAAGTCGTGAGTCGCAAGAATTGACCAATCACAGTCGATTATTCTCCTCAAATTCGACTGTGATTGGTCAATTCTTGCGACTCACGACTTTGCGACTCGC